ATCCAGACAATGTTAACAAGGCGAATGGGAAAACGGGCGAAAAACGTGTGACCCTAATGGCTGCGTCGCGTCTTTGACGGAGCCCAAAGCGCCAAGTCCGAAGCACGGACAAGTGCGATCGATCAGCCCGAATTGTCTGAACAGATGGCGGGAATTGGGCTCGGGCATCGATCTATTTCGGATGCTACTGGCTTTCACAGCTGCGGCTGGTGGAGTTGTCTGCACTTTGGCAAGGGAAAATTTGAGGTCAAAACGCAGGTGCATCTGAAAGTGCGGCTAACGGATGGGATGCCTCAGAGAAAGACAGCCATTAGACGGGCACACAATGCATCACTTGGGTCCTTGTGGTTGATTCGGCTTGATTCAGAAGGCCTGCCCTGTTTTATGATTCAAGATGGACCCGACTGTAGTTTCGATCTCGCCTAGATCCCATCATCATCCCCAGTAGGAGTCAATGGTTGGTTGTGGCGATAGTTATCGCCAGATAATCGGTAAAAGAGGGCCAGTAGCTCTAAGAAACCTTCTAACAATATGTGAAGAAAAGGGGGCTTTCGAAGAGTCTCTGGTTTCATAATTGTTGAGCTTACTTCCATTCCGAGTAATAGTGATTGATGAAGAGATTCGAAGGTTGATCCAACCAGAAGAAGACGCCAGATTCCTTTTGACCAGCTGTCGATTGGCCTTACTGGAACATTCTTGCTGACGCTGTTTCCGAGATAATCTCATTCGATTTCTCATCAGAGGCCAGATATAGAGTATATATAAAGCTTTTTTAGGGGTTTGCCGGGAATCGAAGAAGATTATCTCTGAAAGAGCTTCAAAATGAATGCTCCAGTAAAGCCAATCTACTGGAGGAATCAGCCGTCGTCAACTGGGGGAATCCACCTTATAAACTATTCACCAAACACTTTCACTCGAAATGGAAGTAAGCTGAATAAGTATGAAATAAAAGATTCCTCGAAACCCAATTTTTCTTAGATCAAATTGTTTGTATCTGGCCGCCTCATTGTTTTTTGGAATGCTACTTGAGAGACATAGCATGGCCAGCAAATAATTATTTTCACTTCAAAATCTATCTTTACAAGAGCGTAGAATGTTTAGGTTATATAGGTCATTTTAGACCATAGAATTGTAAGCAACTTTGTCACTTATTTCCGATGTAAGTAGTCTACAGGTCAATCAGTGTTCTAGGCTCATCGTACGAAAATTCGACTAGCAGTCCTTAACTTACTTTAAACGACCTGTAGCGATTAAGAGTTATAATCACCTTATGCCACACAAAGGGATGAAGAGCCACTTGTTGTATTTTACATCATTTATATAACTTGACCTC